ACCACCACGCACCCCACGTCACCTCCTAACACCACCACGCACCCCACATCACCTCCTAACGTTACCATGCAATTCCACGTCACCTCCTAACAACAGCACACAACCCCACGTCACCTCCTAATGTTACCATGCAATTCCACGTCACCTCCTAACACCACCACGCACCCCACGTCACCTCCTAACACCACCATGCACCCCACGTCACCTCCTAACGTTACCATGCAATTCCACGTCACCTCCTAACACCACCACGCACCCCACGTCACCTCCTAACACCACCACGCAACCCCACGTCACCTCCTAACGTTACCATGCAATTCCACGTCACCTCCTAACACCAGCACGCAACCCCACGTCACCTCCTAATGTTACCATGCAATTCCACGTCACCTCTTACCGTTACTATGCAATGCCACCCACCAGCAAGCAGAGAGCTAGGACTGCCTGGGCCATTCCCACAGCTGCTATGCCCACCTTCAGCAGCACAGTCTTGCCATTTACAGCCAAGACATCACCCCTTTCTGAGGAGGAACAGAACAGGGCTTGGAGAGTAGAATGGGTGGGCAGGAGAAAAATAGGGGGTGAGGGAAGATGCCATCCACTGCCAAGCTCAGCAGGGAGCAGAAAGGGGCATCCTCACAGGAACCAATGCTGTGACTTCTCTCCGTGATCCTGAAAGCACTTGCTTTTGGCTTTTTTAAAAACTCAGATAATGACAGCAGTACACCTCAGTGACGAATCTATTCTTTATTGCAACCAGGCTTTGTTTCTATGGGGATGATTACTATCAAAACATTCTGTAAAGGAGCAACCCTGCTGCCCCGGGGCCCCTGCAAGCTGCAGGGGACAGGGGACATACCTGCCAGCATCAGGGCTCGGATGCAGTCGGTTCGACCCTGCATGGCGGCTTTCATCAGGGCGGTGAACCCGAACGCGTTCCTCCTCTCAAGGTCAAGACCGGGGAAATAGTTCAACAAGTAGTTGGTGATGATCGCGTGTCCTGTAAAGAGAAGTGTACACGTGCATTGGTTCCCACTCCCACAAAATGTGCCGATCCAGCCAGGCCTTCCTAGAAAGAGAAAGAGACGCCAAGACAGCCCTGGACCAGCCGGTCTGCTGTGTGTTTTCCTGGAACTCCAAGATAGAATTCTCCTGGAGCCCAGGAAACGGAGGAAAGCAGAGGGCGCTGCCCTGGCTGCAGCACTGCTGTTTGGGGTTCATGCGGGTCCCCTTCAGCAAAGCACTCGGGGGAGGAGCTGCCCCATCACACTGCCGGGGTGGATGTGGGGAGCAGGGAGGCTGCCGGCAGGTAGGGAGCGCAGCCCCAGGCACCAAATGCAGGCAGGAAGCCTCAACTCCCAGCAGGAGACGCCCATGCAAACAGATGCGAAAGCTGCAAATGAGCTTCAGAACCACTTCCAAGTGCTCTGGAGCTGCAGGGAGGAAAAAGCCATCGTCATAGCAATAGGACAGTGCCAGTTCCCACCCAGAAGCAGGAGTCTCTCTCTCTACTGTGCCCGCTCCCTCCTGCAGTCAGCCTCTCTCTCTCTCTTTCCTTCTCTCTCTCTCTCTCTCTCTCCCCCTACCCCCACATACATCCCACAGAGTGTCGCAAGCAAGGCCCTTGGCTATAAAGCAAAGTGGGTAAGGAGATTTCTTAGACAACACAGATTTCTCCCTTTTGTCAACTTGTACCTCCAAAAAGGATCTGACTTTCAGCCCATTCCCAGACGGGCCCACGGTGCTCTAGGTGAATGGCGAATAAGGAGAACATCACAGCAACAGTGCTGTTTCCAGGATTCACCATGCAAAGCCAAAATGGTCTGGGAGAGCATCCCCTTGGGTCAACTGTCCATGCCGCCCGGTGCCAGCTAGCCCCTAAGTCCTTGTGTGAGTGCACCCCGCCCTCCCCCACTTCAGCGCCCTGGGGCAGGTCCCAGCCTCAGCAGTTGCCACAGTCGGCATGGGGGCGGTGCATGACTCTTGGCTGTGGGGACTGCCCGTGCACTGCAGGGCAGATCCCTGCTCTCTACCCATTACACGCCAGTAGCAGCCATCCCCACTCCTGCACAGGTTGTGACAATTAAAACTGTGTCCAGACACTGCCAAATCGCCACTGGCGGTACAGGAACACCCCAGCTGAGAACCACTATCCTAGAGTGAAATCTCAGATTTCCCTCCTTCATGACCGACCACACCTGGTGGAAGAGCTTCTTCTCCCTTCCGCTGCACCCTCCCCTCAGCTGTCACCTCTGGCAGGCCCCTGCTGATGAGTCTGAAGCCCTTGGGAATGTGAGCTGTCTGCCAGTCTCTCTTCCTGAATCCCAGGGGAGGTGCAGGTTACGCAGTTCCCATCCTCTTTGTTTGTTTAAGAGATGGAGACTCTCTCTGTCACCCAGACTGGAGTGCAGGAGCGCGATCAGAGCTCACTGTAGTGTAGACCTCCCAGGCTCATGAGATCCTCCCTCCTGAGCCTCCCAAGTAACTGGCCTCACAGGTGAGCACCATCACACCCAGTTAATTCTTTTATAATATTTTTGTAGAGATGGGATCTCCCAGTGTTGCCAAGGCTGGTCTCAAACTCCTCCATTCAAGCAGTCCTCCTGCCTCAGCCTCCCAAAGTGCTGGGATTACAGGTGTGAGCCACTGTGCTTGGACACAGGCCCCACTCTTAAGCACCCATGATGCAGTGCTCAGAAATCCCCACTCATTCATTCCGACTCAAGTATGTTCCTTCCAGCCCCGACTATCGGGGCTTTGGGGGCCTCGTGGCCATTCCTATGCACTCCCTCCTTAATTTGGTATTACCTCCCCTCAGGAGCCCCTGAATCATGGAGAAGCCGGGCCCAGGGGCCCAGAATCCCCACTGGCATCTGGTTTGCACAGAAACTTCCAATGGGTGGCACTGCCTGAGATTTGGGATGGGAGAGAGGCTGCAAGGACATTGCTCTGGTGTCAGGCAGCCATGAGACCTGAGTTGCCTCCCGGGCCCAGCTCACCTCCGCAGACTGAGAATACCAAGCCAGCCTGAGGCTGCGGCAGCTTCCAGAATTTCCCGCTGCAGCTCAGATCTCCAGGAGGCAGGGCTGGGCGCCCTTGGCCTCTGCTCCCCCAGCCCCTTCAGTTCAGTAAATCCAATATGAAACCCTCCGATTCATCAGGCGGCTCTGTCTCCCCAGCCACCCTCCGAGGGATAACACTGCCGGGGCTGGAACTTCCTCCTTTGAGGGCCGCTGGGGGCTGCTGCCCCACCAATGTGATTTGCTGTGGATTTGCTCTTCATCAATCCAAGTGAAGAACCAACAGGCAGCCACGATCCGGGGTGAACCCTCCTGCAGATCATGGCGGCGCCTTACCACTGACCTCATCACATCTCCTGAGCTCACCGCACATGTGAAAAGGGGAACACGCATGTATCTTTTTGAAAGAGAAGCCCTGATGAATTAGGACCTTAGCAAGCAGGAAACAAAGGGAGACCCCCGGCTGTGTGACTCACAGACAGCCTCCGGTGCTTTTCTGACTGGTTTACACCACATCATCCTCCCTCCTCTTTTATAAAACATCTTTTACAGGACGGGGGAGGGTAAGGCCAGCAGTCAGGCACCCAGAGCTGCTGAATGACTTTCACCTGGGTAGTGGGGGAAGGTGGGGGCATCCTTTGATCTCAGTTTGGTTTAAGGTCCAGTTAAAGGCTTGATGGCACCTGTCAGATTTAGCCAGGGTCATAGTGAAACCAACTGCAATTCGTTTGGAGCCATTTTTTTAAACTGTGAAATAGAGTGTCCGTCACAGTCTTCAGCAGGACGTTCCTTTGCACTGATATATCCTAAGCACTTTGAACAGATGGAAAGAAGAAAAACTGGAAGTCCACAAGGCAAGCCACCCATTATACACACCTGTTCTGCCTGTTATGTTGAGTTCACAAAGACCAACATGCAGCCGACTTGTTCTGACTCTAAGCCTGAGCTTCCGATGATCCCAGAAATCACACCCTGTTTCCCACGGGCTTTCCCAGGAAAACAGAATAATACCTCTTATCACACAGAGGAACCCATTCAATGGAAATCAAAGGTGGACCCAATACTTCTAAGAATATATACATATTAACCTTTCTTCTTTAAAAACCATGATGACTAACCAAAGGGAGTTTTCCTAAAATATATATATGAGATACACAGCCTTCCATGCACAAGGAAACCCAAACACACGCCATATTGAAATCTGGTTTGAGGCTGGGCACGGTGGCTCACTCCTGTAATCCCAGCACTTTGGGAGGCTGAGGCAGGCAGATCACTTGAGGGCACCAGCCTGGCCAACATAGTGAAACCCTGTCTCTACTAAAAATACAAAAATTAGCTGGGCGTGATGGTGCATGCCTGTATTTCCAGCTACTCGGGAGGCTGAGGTGGGAGAATTGCCTGAACCTGGGAGGTGGAGGTTGCAGTGAGCCGAGAATCCACCACTGTACCCCAGTCTGGGTGACAGAGTGAGACCCTGACTAGTTTGAGCCCAGTCCAACTTGGACATTATGAATCAGGCTTGGTTCCTGAAATCCTCAGAGAAGCCCTTTTAAAGGGTAGGCTCACCTAGAGAACCCCAGAACACCCCCTCACCCACAATGAGCCCTACGCTGCTTAAGAGAGGATCACAAGTGCCCCAATGAGGAAGTGCATTTGAATGAAATCGTGTCACTGGGACATAGTGGAGACAATGAGCTCAGTAATGAAGAGAGCCGACTCTGGGAACAGCCAGGTTCAAGGCCCAGGTCTGCCACTTAGAATCTGGGTGGCTTTCGGAAGTCAACTTTTCCACATCTATAAGATAAGAGATGGTATCAACCTCCCAGTTGTGAAAATTACAGGAGATAACGTGGGCAAAATGTGCTCAGCAGAATAGAAAAATCTCCTGGAAGAAAAATTCCAAGTAATCTAGGCAGGCACTCCACTCTCAAGAAGCTAGAACATAGTTCCCCACTCCTTAACCCGAGGGCTGTGTGCAATGACTTCCCGTCAAAGAGTATTACGTGGAAACGGGAGAGGAGAGAGATCTTCACGGTGGAGAAACCTACTAACATGTCCTCAGTCAGGTGACCAAGGCCAGCGTCATCATGATGGGTCAGCTTGGTAGCGGGTCTCCTGGTGCCATGTGCTGGGAATAGTCCTTTACACGAGGGTCTTCCTCCAAAAACTCAGAACTCCAGTCTCATCACAAGAAAAGCATCAGGCACATCCAAATTAAGGAACATTCTACAATGTACCCAACCAGTCCCCCTCAAAACTGTCAAGGTCATGAAAAACAAGAGAAGTCTGAGATACTCACAGCACAGCCAAGGGGAGCCTGAGGACCCACGAGGGCTACATGCCACGTGCAATCCTGCCACAGAAGAAGGAAATCTGGGAAACGCTGAGGAAATCTGAATAAAGACTGGACTTCAGTTAACAGTGGTGCATTGATAGCGGTCCATTCACTGTGTCCAGCACAGCACGAATGTCAGATCTTAACAGCAGAGGGGACCGGGGCAAGGCACACAGGCATTCTCTGTACAGTGTTTGCGGTTTCTCTGTAAGTATAAACTGTTCTCAAATCAAAAGTTTATTTTAAAAAAGAGGAGAACTGGCCGGGTGTGGTGGCTTACACCTGTAATCCCAGCACTTTAAGAGGCCGAGGTGGACAGATCACCAGAGGTCAGGAGTTTAAGACCAGCCTGGCCAACATGGGGAAACCCCGTCTCTACTGCAAAAACAAAAATTAGCAGGCGCCTGTAATCCCAGCTATTCGGGAGGCTGAGGCAGGAGAATCACTTGAACCCAGGAGGCAGAGGTTGCAGTGAGCCAAGATCATGCCATTGTACTCCAGCCTGGGTAATAGGGCGAGACTCCATCTCAAAATAAATAAACAAATAAAAATTAAAAGTAAAAGTAAAAAGGGGAGAACTAGCACAGAGTCATTCAAAACGAGCGCAAGGTCGGATGATGATTCACAGCTGGCTGTTCGCCTGGT